GGCTTTCGGCGGAGGTGTTTCAGGTGCAGGTTTAGGGCTTAAGTTTAGGTGATCGGGGTTTATAGGGCTTCGAGGAGTCTCGATAGCTTTATGAAGGCTCTTCTAAGGTGTAGGTTTCCAGCGTGGTGTCTGGAGTTTAGGCTTCAGGGATTCAGGCTCTAGAGCTTCTGGCTTTGGTGTGTGGTGCTTAGTCTCGTGTTCAAAACATCTGGGTCGGTTTGCGTTTTGAGGCTTCGGGGTCGTACTTTCATGCACGTTTTTTCTACCTGTCTATCTTCTTGTGATTAGTACTTGCACTTGTCTGTGCACCCGTGTACATCTCTGCTCAGGTACTGACCGATTGGTTGATTGATCGACTGATTGACCGATTGACTGGATGACTGAATGGTTGAACAGCTGACAGATCGACTGATTGGCTGGCTGGCTGACGGATTGATTGGTTGATTGACTTAATCGATTTATGTGTTTTTGTGTATATTTATCTCGCGAGCTAGTTCTGTTTATCTGTCTACATAGTCCTAGCACTGCATGTAGGCGTCCCGGTCCCGGTACCCGGGCACTGCGTGATGGGCACTGCAACCCAGGCAGGGTGCGGAGTCGATTCAGTGACCTCGGCGGATCAACTGAAGGATCCGAAACAGGGTGTTAGGGTTTAGGGTGTAGGGTTTTAGGGTTTTAAGGGTTTAGGGTTTTAGGGTTTAGGGTTTAGAGATCCGAAACTGCAAACCTACGAAACCCTAAACCCGTTTGGCCCCTTTGATCACTCTGTACCGTAAGTAGCATAACAATGATTGAATGAAGGATCCTGTATAGTTTAAGGTTGAGGAATACATACCTTAAGTCACAAGGAGCCCCTTCTAAGTTGAGGTCTAGTGCGTGGCTAGCGCCGCGAGGGGCCTTATCAGAGTTCAGGCATAGGCTGATTTATGCTATGGCTGTGACGCCCCACAACTCTGGCTTCAAGTGCTCGGAGAGTGACATCCAGCATGCAGGGTTTTGGATCCTTCGCAGCTACTGTCCCTTCTCACTTGCAGACTACGCGTTACACGGAGCTTGACGGCCCCGTACAACCTGTCCTAACCCCTATAGAAGCCCTAAACTCGATATCTCCCGGGGCAGCTGCACGGCTTTTGACCTCGTCGAGCACGCTACTTCGACTCACCTGAACCAGCGGCACCTGAGCACGGAAATCGAATGATCTGGTGTCTAAACAGATTAAACAGGGTTTGGGGTGCATTATATATACATATAATACGTTCATAATACGGAACCCTCGAAAAGTAAAAGTATTGGAAATTATCTAGGCCTCTATATGACCCCACGAGAAACAGTACTCATAAAATTACCTAAAGAAGGAACATCCCATTCATGAGAAAGGGATCCTGGTCCTTAAAACAGATGTGGAGAAACAAGATTCCTGGAAATGTAGCGGTGTCCTGAGCATGACTTAAAGAACCTATCTGCCTTGAAAGAACCTATCTTACTTGAAGTATACAGGGATTTCAAGTACACTCCTCAATATAGGGCTCTCGGGCTCTGTGTGGCACTCAGATGATGGTCCACGGCATATGCATGTACCTATGGTTGCATTGTACTTCCTTGCTGGAGTTACATCATAGAACCCTAGATACGTCGGTAGTTAAACCAATCAAGCAACTACCATAAAGTCTATAGGTAACCTAGGAACCTGATGTAAAGTCCCCTGCAGGTTCCAACCAGGGCCCTAAAACCACAGCTCCGACATCAGCTCGGAACTCGCTTCCAGCGCACTTAAAACACCGTAAAACCTCCAATCCCCGAGCCCTATGCCTGACCTCCTAAAGCTCCTGAAAACCCCTGAGAGCCCTCCAGACACTCACTCCTCGCTTTCTCCCTGACTGAGGAGCCCACGCGGCCAAAGCCATGGGCATCTTCGCTGCCTAGGCGTTCGCGCGTCACCTCCCGCGCCACGCGGAGCAGCGGGCCCTGGCGATGATCTTCCCATAAACCCCTAAACCCTTAAACCCTAAACCCTTCCTGGAACCTTTAAAAGTTATATATAGTTGTGGGGATACTTATTCTGATTTCTTTTTAGAAGTCCTAAAACAAGTAGGGCATTCGGGGATAATGTTGACTTTAAGGCTGCGGGTTTAGCGCGAAAGGTGAGGGCTTTTGGGGTTTAGGGTTCTCAAAGACTCTTAATGAAATACCAATGAGTACGCCCGACATGCTCCGGGCGTGACCACAGCGGGGCTGCACGGTAAAGGGTGGGCATCAAGAAGGCCACTGAAATAGGACTCGACTTCGAATGGTCGAACGAGGCGCACAACCCCCAAACCCCAAACTTCCGGGCTTAGAGTCCCTATCCTAATCACTTAAGCCCTAACTGCGTCTGCTATGCGACAGGGGTTTCTCTTCACGCCCTACCCCCTAAACCCTACTCTCTTAAGCCCGAAACCCTGAACCCCAGGACAAGAGCTGGACTCGGGCAGGGCTTAACTCAGGGCTATGGGGGCATCTCAGTCTACTTATATATGATAGGGTCCACAGGGGGATCATGGCATCAACTACCTATGACAGAAGCCTTCCAGCATGCGGCCTGCGGTTTTAACAACTTATTCTGTGTAGGTCAGCCTGGGCTTTAGGTTTCGGGTTTAGGCTTCACACCTCTCTGTGCAAAAAGTGATTGGGGTGTTAGAGGTAGTCTACCTACGCGCCAGTGCATCCGAGAGTGCATCCCATCCTCAGACGCCAGATTAGCACTAAACCCTAAGCGCTAAAAGACCCTCATCTCAGCCCCAAGCCGACGCCCGAGTCCAACAACGTCAGACATTAGGATCCGACACCCTAAGACCTCTGAAACGGAAACTTCCATAAATCCCTGTGCAAACCCAGATACAACCTTCAGAGAGCCTTGTGTTTGTCTTAACAAGAAATCCCAGGAGAAAAAGCAATCGAAAACGCCCGGGCCTTTATCGGCCGTGACACGGAGCGATTTCCGCCTCCGGGCCTTCGTGCTTGGAGGCCCCTTTTCACTATGGCTATGGGTGGCTTGGAGACTTGGGGTTGCAGATGGTTTCAGAATTGGGGCCTGCGGCCTAGGTCCAAGGATCATGATCACCACCATCACACCACGCTATGCTCATTTATGTTCTTTATCATCGTCATAGGCTTCATATCACAGCAACATCATCAACAGCGGCAGCAGCAGAAACAGAATTGTCACGACCATCACAATTGCCCGTTCTGGGCAACCTTTGTGTAAGCTCGCGGCGCCACTGCCTTGACCGGTGTCGCAAGGGAGACGCGCATGCGTCCGGCGGCAGCCTGGTTATGCTCTTGGAGAAGAGTAAATAAAGCATGTCACGACCACCAAATGAGCAAGCATCCTTGGCATAGGCCATACCGGTTCCAGTGTTGAAGATAGCTAAGGGCATGATGATGATGATGATGATGAAGATAATGGTGATGATAAGGACGACTAACCCTTGCATTGTTGTCGGCGTGTAAGGCAACCAATTGCTATTCTTCTCTTTTGGTGGACAAAGGCCGACAAAGGCACAAGATCTTGCGGAGCTCACGGAGACTTTTTCCGTTGGGCATGGGCAACTCCCCTCCAATGAACTGAGCTTCGGGCTCTGTGCACGCCCACCGGCAGAGTCCACGTCTCTGGCCCAATCCCTGCCTTTCTTTGCGACAGACCTGTGGAAACCCCTTGACTGAGGAAGTCTCCTTGAGTTGTAGCAAGGAGATCGTTGTTAGGGGGATCCAAAGAAGATCTTCGAAACCCCTGCTCATAGCTTCGCGTTCTCCCTCGGACCAAACCCAACAACCCGCAATACCGTGGTTCCATGCCTTTCCCTCTGCAAACACCCTTGGAGCCGAAAGAGTCTGACGCATGGGCAACATCAGGGTCGGGAGCGTCGAAATCTCTTGCAGACAGAACCCGGCTTTTTATTGGTTTGCCCTAAAGCCACATAGTAGCTCCTTTTTGGGGATTCTTATATAGCATTCTAGAAGGAAATTCCAGAAAGGAACTACTACGGGGCCTGTGGGTAGGGTGTAGGGACTCGATTTCCTACAGCCAGAGCTCCACCTCCCAGAAGACTGGAGCACCCGTAACTTAAACACTTTAAATGCTGATTCCTTCGAACAGCGCTGCCTTCAAACCAACAGTCGAACCCCAATCCAAACAGAAACTTCAGAATCCTTGACTGTTGGTTTAAAACCTTTAGACAAAAACCTCAATAACCATGGTTACAGGCAGAACTTCGTGCGGCTTTTTCCTCGAGCGAGCCGAAGAGACAACACACCGGCACAAGAAACCCTGTGTGGAGGCTCTTTCAAGGCTAGTGGTGCAAAGCTTGGCGGGCCTCGCATTTAAGCAGAGTTGGAGGGTTTAGGTTTTTGAAGTTTGGGGTTATAGCGTTTAGGGTTTAGGGTGCAGGGTTTGGGGCTCAGGGCTCGTTCTACTACTACTATTATGTTCCTTAGACTATACTCTTTTTGTAGGTTCTTACGATCAACCCGAATAGAGAATTTATCCGCCTACGTGGCTCCAGGTACGGCCAGGTAGCATCTTGACCTTGAAGGTCCCTAACCCTAAACCCTAACGTTCAGGCCGGGGTCATGACCTGGAAGCTTCCAAGAACCAGGCTCAAGAATCGAATCCTTGCCGGGGGGATTCTGAAAGCCGGTACTTCCCCTACCCTAAGGGTCCTAATAGATTGGGGAAGCTCAAAATTGAGGGTTTCTGAGACCCCAAAGAGACCCAAGGACTCTGCCTAGGAGATTCCGGACCCTCCTAGGATTCCCAAGGCCCGCAGGTCTCCGGGAGCTCAAGGGCTGAGGCTTTAGGGCTTCAGGGGTTTAGGTTTAGGATGGTTTAGGGTTTAGGGGTTTAGGATGGTTTAGGATGCTAGTTTAGGATGATTGAACGGTTTAGGGCTTAAGGGTTAAGGTAAGGGGTTTAGGGGTTTCAGGTTGAGGATTGCAAGCCGAGCGCTTCGAAGTCCCGGATCTCAGTAGACGCTGTGAGCTTTGCCACTGAGGAGCTTGATGGCAACCAGGGCAAATACAACGCACCTTAAGGGATTGGAAAGCACGGAAGTACTCCGAGCCATCGTTGCTTCGGCTCGTGTACAGCTTTGCAGGGAACATACATCTGCTTAGTATAAGCAAAATCGGAAAAGCAAACCTGTAACATAACGCATACACGCACACACATACACACATATATATATATATATATATATATATATACACACACACACATAACTTTTCGGAATAGTCAAGCGTGAATCCGCAGACTACCGCTAAGACCACCGATTCCGAGGCCGTGTCATGAGAATCAACGTTCCGATGTAAACCTCGGTCAACTCTGGGTCCACCTGACACGGAGCTTCCGAGGTTCTGGTCTTCGGGGTTTCCGTTTAGGGCGAGGGTTCAGGGTTTGGGGTTTAGTGTGTCGGCTTTACGGCCTGGGGTTCCTGGCCTTCCGGTTTCGGGTTTCCTGTTTTTGGGTTTCGGTTCTGAAATTCTGGAGTCTGGGGTTCTGGGAGTTGGGTTTGGGGTTTCTGGGGTCCTAGTAGGGTACTGGCAGTTGGATGCGAGGGTTGGAATCTTGGGTTGGGCTTCTGCAGACTGAGTGCCTTTTCCTGTGCTTTTCTGGTTTAGCAGGGTCTTGCAAGGGCTTGATAATATAACGGCTTGCAAAAACTTCTGCAGGGTAATCGTAGGTGTCTTGCTGTTTACGGTTTCGGGGATTCGGGCTTCGTAGGGGTTTAGGGGTTTAGGGTTTCAGATTTCAAACCATCAGAGAATCGGGCTCGAAGCTTCTGCTGCCAGCTCAAGCCCCTCGAACCCTTCCGTCAAGCCCTGAAGCCTCAAACCCCTAAAGCTCCAATGGCATCAAAGGCGTAAGACCTTAAAGCCCAACCCTAACCGCCATGAATGAACAACTGCACTCAAAAGACCTCTTGAACACAAAGACTCATAAAACATCAGGAGAAATGGAGAGAAGGAAAGCCTCCATCGTCCGGAAGATGAGCCTCCGCAACATCGGGTCGGTCCTGAGCCGGAGGCCGCAGTACGTGCAATGGAGGGTTTCGGGCTCCGCGGCTCCAGAAGTCCCGGGTTTAGTACCTCCCATAGCTTTGTCTGCTTGGCCGCACTGTCTTCTCAAGAGAAGCTGCCAGATCACGCTTTCTGCACTACAGTGTATTGTGCACTGGGCTAGACAGCGCAGGGCCTTTTGCTGCTCTGTGGGACGAAGTCCAGATTGTACATTCGTGACACACGGTGCCTACTTCATCATCTACTACACGACCTAGACTTCACATTTGACATTCTGCACTGCGTAGGCTACAGAATTTGCTGCAAGAAGCAGCACCCGGTCCTCCGAAACTCGACGATCGCGAGCAGCTTGACCGCATACCTTTGACAAAGCAACACAGCGAGCTCCGGGCCTCGTGACCGACTGTAGGAACTGTTCAGTCCTAAGAGCCTATAAACTATAATATTCTATCACATAAACCGCAATATACACGTACATATACATATGTATAGACACATATATATATATATATATATATATATATGTATATGGAGAGCGAGAGAGCGGGAAGAGAGAGAGAGAGAGAGAGAATGAATCTACTAAAACTTTAGCATACCATGCCATAATGGGCCTACTCTCTCCCTCCTCAACTCCAAGAACCCGAACCCTAAAGAACCGACAGGCTCCTCTCAGCTCAGTGCTGCAGGAAGCTGATGTACTGCATCCATCGCAGGAAGTGCGGAATCGCTTGCACGGGGATGAAGGTACCTGGCAGCGACACTCAGAGCCATGATCTAATGATGCGTTCATGTATGTATAATGTATGTACAATGCATATATATATATATATGTTGCAAGCGGGACCCATATACATCTACGCATGTACAAAAACTGAACGCAATGAAACAGTGCAACGTGAAACAACTGTGCTCAGCCAGGCATGGCGACGCAAGGATTATGAGATTGCCGGGGCTTACAAAAAGAACTCTACACCGGATGTAGGAACTGTGCAGTCTGAAACCCTCAACTACAATATACTATAAAAAAACTGTAGATGAACTCAATAGACCCTTCATAGACACGACCCCTTCCCTTTACAAAGATTGCAGGAAAAAATGTCAAGCCCTCGGCCCCAGAGAAGCCTCATGGATAACGACCTGTATGGAACATCTACAGTCCTAATCATAGCTGTTCCAAACACAACCCGAGCCAACACCCTAAGAAGAAACCTAAACCCTCAACCCCGAGCGAACCCCACAGTACCCCTTCTCAAACTAACTTGCACCTTCCCCTAAATCCTAAACCTTAGTCAGAACACTAAACCCTAAAACCCTAAACCCTAAAGCCCAAAAAACCCTAAACCCCTGAAACCTGAAAATCGTACACCCTCAACCTTTTCCTTAACCGCCAATAATTGCCATGCTATTATTCGGGTTCCCTTATTCTAATTAATAGTTCAATGGGCCCCCAAACCCGATTCTAATTTTTGAAGGCCTTCCCCAAAGAAGATGGCCTGACATCAGGAGCTGCGGAACGAAGACCAAGGGGCCGATGGCCCCGCTTTCCCGCGGGAAGCGGACGATGCCTCAAAGGAAGGGGCGATCGGATATATATATATATATATATATATAGGGGCGATCGGATATATATATATATATATATATAGAACGATCTATATATATATACACACACACATACATGTGTGTGTGTATATGTATATGTGTATTGAAGTTCCATGAGTCTATATGAACCTTTAATAGGGTTTCATGAGATGTCAATGCTTGTATGGTCTTTTCAGACGCTGCATATGACGTTTATGGTGTGCTCCAAGCTTGAAGTTTTGGAAAGGATATTGTATGTCCCTGAAACAAATTTGCGCTTCAACCAGGAGTGCATCCCGAAAGTTTCAGGATAATGTGGATGCGTATAGCATTTCAGGGTTGCTTAATTAATCTGGAACATACCCTAAACCTTAAACCACAAAGGCATGATGCTCTCAGGTAAATTGCTTCATGCTCTTTGCAGGGAGGCGGCTACACGAACAAAGGCCGAACACTGACCCCTATCAGGATTCACAAGGAAGTCATCAAGAACCCTAAGATGCCTCTTCCAGGCAGGCTCTGTGTTATATGGTGAATATCAGGTGTACCCAATTCCGCCCGATATTGCATGTGCTGAAAAGGTAGCTAAGACACTAGAGCATACGGTAGAACAGTATACCTTTAACCCACCAGGGCGTTCTGCAAGAACAATTCAGTACACTGCGTGGGCTGTTGGCCTAGTAGTCGAAAGTCTGAGTTCTTCGAAGCATCGTCTCAGGTCTGAGTGTGGTGCTTAGCATTCAGTATGTGGCTTTCTTGTTTTATCATGCTTCTTGGATGATCTGCGGTTGAGGGACGAGAAATCCCTAAACCCTAAACCCCTGAACCCTAAGCCAAGAACAACCTCTTCCAGCGGTCATAGGTTCAGGATTTAGGATGCCCTGCGGCCTCCAACGATTTTGCGGTCCTAAACCCTAAACCCTAAACCCTAAACCCTAAACTCGAAAGCTTAAGCCTGAATGCTCAGCTTCTGCCTTCTCACGTACAGGAGCGTAACACACCTGTACGGGAATGAAACAAAAGACTTTCCAGTCTTACCTAGAAGTAAATGGTAATTGTAAAGCTACAATTACAGCCATTTACAGGTAGACATCATGAGTGTATACAAGTATTCCTTAATATATATCTGTAGACAGTACTGTCAGTAATATACAAGAGATATATTACCCTAAACCCCCCCCCTAAGGCGCGAGTGAAATCTCGGGAAAATGGACCCCCGAGTGCTCGTGTGTGCCCAAGCTGGTCGGGACCACATTCTGCAGCAAAACAGCGCCGATCCTTTCATCTGGCTGCTCTAAACCTTCTGGATGCCCAAAGCGGCCAAAGCCTGCTCTAAACTGGGTCCCCAGGCTTAGGATCGAAAAATGGACCCCCGAGTGCTCGTGTGTGCCCAAGCTGGTCGGGGCCACATTCTGCAGCAAAACAGCGCCGATCCTTTCATGTGGCTGCTCTAAACCATATGGTGCTTCTGGGTGCCCAAAGCGGCCAAAGCCAGATTCTGCAGCAAAACAACCGTTCGGTTCGTGTGCCTGCTCTAAACTGGGTTCCCAGGCTTAGAGCTTAGGATCGCAAAATGGACCCTCGAGTGCTCGTGTGTGCCCAAGCTGATCGCGGCCACATTCTGCAGCAAAACAGGGCTGTTCTTTTCGTGCGCCTGCTTTAAGCCATCCGGTGCCTCTGGGTGCCCAAAGCGGCCAAGACAGATTCTGCAGCAAAAGAGGGTCGATCTATTCGTGTTCTTGCTCTAAACTGGGTTCCCAGGCTTAGGATCGCAAAATGGACCCTCGAGTGCTCGTGTGTGCCCAAGCAGGTCGGGGCCACATTCTGCAGCAAAACAGGGCTGTTCTTCCTAAACCCCGTCCCTCGGAGCTCGGATCAGAAAATGAACTCTCGACTGCTCGTCTGTGCCCAAGCAGGTCAATTCTGCAGCAAAACAAAGCCGATTTGCAGGTGGTAGCTCAAACCATCCTTGTCGTGCTCAGCTTAGGCCTTCTCACGGACAAGAGCGTAAGACACCTGTACGAGAATGAATCCAAAGACATTCCAGTTTTACGTTGAAGTAGACGGTAATTGTAAAGCTGCAATTACAAATCTATGTTTACAAGTTCTCTATTATGTTTTCTAGACAGTAGTATACGGAGATATATGATCTAAGTTCTCATCCCTGAGCTCCGCGTGAAGTCTGAACCTTCGAGTGCATCCATCTTGCTCGGCATGCACGGCCACGGTTATTCACACTTGATGAAGAATCACAGATGCAACGGCTACTAGCACTGAGATGCTCGTCTTTTGACTCGAGACGCTGCGCTTTGGGCATGCCGGCTGCGTCTCATCCAGCGGCACTGCTAGCCGCTTCACCTTTGACAATGTCGTGTTCAAGCAGCACTTCATGTTGTTTCACGAACGAAACCTGGTGGCTACAAAACTTGGTTGCAAGTTGGTGCATTTCATGGAAAGGTTATGAGCCTGTAAGTGCACACTCGGTTCAGGACAGTTGCCAACGAATGCGACTAAGAGCAATCGAGCCTGCCGGGTCGGATCGATAGCAGGACTCGCTTCGTTGGGACATCGACCTGAATTGCAGGCGAAACAGATGACACACCTGTCGACTCACGTCCAAGCGCGAGGCCATGCTCGTTGTCTCGGAACCTCACTTGCGATGCTAACTAGTCCAACCACACGATTGTCAAATCAACTCGGGTCCAAACATCAGAGCTGATATTCCTGACACGGGTTATGTTCACTGTGTTTTGCATGAACCAGACCGGCCTTACGCCGAGGAGGTAGGAAGTGCTCCACGGTCAGGTGTCCGAAAAAACACCAACTGGCGTCCGTTCGGACGCGCGACAAGGCAACGTAGCCGGCGCCCGGAATTCTCATGGTGTCCAGCCAAAGTGCCATGTAGCCGATGGTGCTGCCCTGAGCTTTGTGAAGTGTGATTGCATAGCCCAATCGCACCGGCAGGAACCTGCAACGGACCACCGTGCCATCCACCAGGATCTTGTCTTCGGTTACTCTGGAAATTACAAGTAGACGCCCGGTGCGCGTCCGCACTTCCAAACCGTGGTCTTTGATGCCCTCCACGGTGCAGACCATGCCGTTGACGTGATCGTTGTCCTTGTCGAGATTTCTGGTCAGAGCCAAGCGCATGCCTATACATACGTTCGTAAAAGAGGCCTCATGTGCGACGAGTTCCTTGCCTCTGAGGTTGTCCGGATTGTTCTCGGGATCCAGTGGAAGGCAGACCATTTCATGATGTTGAAACTGAGCTTTGACCGCCAAAAGATTGAGTTCTGCCGCGGCTCGGCGTGTGTATGTGACAAAAGTGACATCCGGACGTCTGTGCATGACCTCTGCGACGTCCGATGCCATCGGCCCGGTGTTGTTTGGACTGCCGATGCCGTGACCGCGTAGGATTGCTTGCAGCTGTCGCTCTGTTGGCTGTGCCCCGCGTAGCAGCTGCAGGGCCGCTGACAGTCGGGGGCACGCACTGCGCAGTTGTGTGGTGAATGTGAACTCTTGCACTCGGCCCCACTGCTGGCTTTGTTCTGCACTTGTACCATCCACGGCAGGTAGCTGCAGAAAATCGCCAACGAAGACGATGCATGGTCTGTTGCCCACAGCTTCGGAGAGCCTCAGAATTCGCTCGAAATGCTCTCGGGCTATTTGACCGACTTCTTCAACGATAATAAGATCGAAATCGGACAGCATGGCCAAGGTCGCCTCCTCTTGCAGGTGGAGACCAAAGAAACTGTGTACGGTATCCACCACGGCATCGCTGAACTCGCATCTGTAAGCAGTTGCGAGCAGTCCTGTGGGGCAGGCCACGCCCACGACTGCTCCGGCCTGCAAGGCCTGCCGCATGGCCATCTTCACGGCGATACTCTTGCCCGTGCCGGCGGGGCCAAGACACGCCAACAAGTTTGACTGCATCGCCCGCTGCGCTGAGTGCTGCCATGACTGCACCTCGTCCTCATCGTCCTGCGAACGCGCAGCGACTGCTCGTCTCACATTCGCACTGATCTCGTTGAGTGCCATCATCTGACCCGCTGACAGGTCCTGGATTTCCGGATTGTCCGTGGAGGCCGGCTCCGGCTCAGGGTCGCTCATATGACGTCTGCAGGCCAGATAGTCGTCAATGAGCTCAGTGCAAGCCTTTGTCGCCTCAAGCACATCTTCGATGAAGTTATCCCGCTGGGCTTCCAGCTCCATCTCACGACGAATCGCTGGCATGGAGCGCCAAAGCCTGGGACGCTGTAGCAGGCACAGTGCCAAACCCTGAAGGTTGTCTGGAACCGACTCGACTTCAGGCCTCCACAGGTCGTCCACATGCCGGAATGGCACATGTAGCAAGAGCCACTGCTTGTGAAAGTCTGGATTTTTTCGGGAATACTTGATGGCAGCCACCATAACGGCGCCATCCGGCAAGCATGTGTTGGCGAACTCCTCGAGAGATTGCCCCGAGCTTGTCTGCACATGACGCTCCTTGATGCTGCTGTGTATGTTGCCATGTCGATCGCTCTTGCGGAGGAACTCGACAAGCGACATTTCTGGCGACCGCCAGTCGCATTGCGTATATAGCTCGACTTCCCTGGGAAGCTTGGGAGTCTTCCAGGGCACCGGCACTACAATTCGCCGGATGTTTCCTGTCTGGAAACTCTGCGGCAGCATGTGCGCTGCCAGTTGTAGCACCATCTCCATTTCCAATGGCTGGTACTCTGCCAAGATTCTCGCTGCTATCACTGCGCAATCGAAGTCCGAGGGTTGCGACGGCCATGCCTTGGAGAATTTGAAGATGTATCCGGCGACATAGCGAAGCACCTGTGCTCGGCCGTCGCCTGCTTGGACGTCCATGTGACATTTGAGCGATCCCAACAAGTCTGGCATATATGCACGACAATGTGCTGCAAAGGCGTCCGCAGGGTGATGCAGTCGGAGCATGTTCGACGCTTCGTCCCAGGAGGACGGTTCGTCTCTCAGCGGC